TCCAGTATTTGAACAATCACTCTTTCCCCTCCCCGGTTCACATTTCTACCCATACCCTGATCTGACCTACTACTCCAAGGACACAGGAGGCCAAGGGACACCAGACATTATTTCTCTCTGTACAGTTTTTAAATTTTTATTTTTTGATGTTTGTTGTTCAGATGAATGACACAAGTTACAAAAATGGGGCCTTAAAAGAAGCACATTGTACAATGAACAAGCAGAGTGAAGTTAAAACACTGAAACACTAACCCGCTACCACAAGAAGAGACAGGGAAGGGATCTGAGGGAAGGGAGGGGCTGCCAACCAAAAGGGGGGCTACCTCGCTGGGCCCGGAGGGGAGGCAGGTCACTCCAGGGCCTGCGTCCTGGCCCACTACTTACCACGGCTCCCCACGCCTGCCTCCTCTGCCTGGACATTCAAGCGCCTAGGTGAGGGACAGCCACACCAGGAAGGTGGGGCCAGTCAGATCTTTTCAAGGTAGAGCGGTCACTCTGTCCTGGCGCCCTGGCCTTGGCCGGCGACTGTGGCACAGTCGGAAAGGGGCCAGAGGAGGTGATCAAAAGACCAGGCCTCCACGTCAGCCCCCAAGATGCCCGCCCGTCTGCCCCACCCCCCAGCTATGATCCAAAGGCCCTCTGTTCAGAAGCCCCTGTCACCCTGCAATTACATAAATAAATAAATACTGAGCCCCTAGGCTGGGAGGACAGGTTGCGGGAAGGGCAGCAGGGCTACAGGAAAGGGAGGGGAGGGATGGGGGGTCACAGACAAAGTAAGTAGTTGTCTCCGTCCCAGCAACACTTTCTCTGGATTTTTTTCTTTGCTCCTTTTGCTTGTTTAGGAAGGAGCCAACACCAAGGACAAATACTTAAAAATATACATCATTTTTTCTTTTTTCCGCCTTTGTCATCGTCGTCTTGCTTTGGAGACTGCTGAGGTCAAAGTTTAAACCACACAAAAGAACCACGGCTTGAAGTTTTTGTGGGTTTTTTCGTTTTTGTTTTCTTTTTTATTGTTTTTTTTTTGTTTGTTTGTTTTGGGTTGTTTTTTTTTTGTTTTTGTTTTTTTGTTTTTATTTTTTTTATTTTTTAGTTTTTATTCTAATTTTTTTTTCACTTTTTTCCCAACGTATAAAAAGGTAGCGGAGTTGTCTGTGGTTTTTTTTTTTTTTTTTTAATGGTTAAATCTTTGGTTTGTTTCTTTTTTCTCTTGGAGGCCTTTAATCTCTCGCACTTGCCTTTCCCACTCAGAGACCGGTGGGGGCCCGCGTGTCTCAATCCTGCTTATTACTCTCTCTCACTCAGCTATCCCTACCCTGGGTGAGGGGAGAGAGGCACCCTGGGAATGGGCTGGAGGAGAAAAACTAGTCAGGTCAAGAGGTCACTCCCTTGACTTGACTAGTGCCTGGCTGGAGCTCCCCAGGGTGAGGGGCTTGGAGACCCTCTTGGTCTTCCAGGATGTGTAAGACCCCCTCCTTGTCTTAGCCCCAGTTTCTAAAGGGGCTTGGGAACCCCATCCACCCCTCACCCACCCCTATCCATACATCCAGCCCCTTCCTCCCACTTCTGGTCCCTACCCTGCCCCCGAGAAGGGAACAGAGAGGTGGTTTAGTTACTGGCATTATTTATTTTTGGCACAAATGGCCCACCATTAGGGCAGACCAGTCTCTGTTCCTCCCTTAAGCAGGGGTCAGGGCTGGGAGAAGGGAAATTAGGTGCGCTGTTCTCACCCCAGTCCACTCAGCTCTCCCTCTAGCCCAGGCCCCTGGTTTACCACTTGACATCTAAGCTGGTACAGGGTCTCCCTCCCCAACCCCTTATAAAGCTCCCTAGCCCTCCAGCTCTCTCGCTCACACACAGACACACGGACACAGGCTCTGTACAGACCACAAAATAAAAACGATGAGATAGTTTTGTTTCCCGGAGTCGAGGCTGGGGTGACTGGAGTGGAAGGGGCAGGTGGAGGTAAGAGGGACTGGAAGTCCCCCTCACCTCCCCAAACCTGGCTCCCCCCAGCCCCAGCCCCTTGCCTTGGCTGGCCCCCAGCCAACGATATTTGGTTTTTTTTTTTTTTAACATTAAAGTTCTATGAGGTATTTGGTGCCTTATCTCGAGTCCTCGGGGGAGGGGGGGGAGACCTGGGGCTCACCTGCCCCTCCCTCCCACCCTCCCACCCCCTTCCCAATATTTGGTTTCACAGCTGTAGTTAAAGCTTGGGATTTGGTTATTTTTCCCCCTCCCGGGAATTTTGTTTGTTTGTTTTTCATTTCCCAGTGTGGGGGTTGGATGGGGAGGGTCCCCACCACCCCCGGCTGCATGGGGGTCCCCTCCACCAATGTCAGGGCATCTGCCCATCCCTGCCCCCGCTTCCTCCTCTTTTTTCCCACTCCTCCACACTGGAGTAGGGAGAGGTCCCAGGTAGGGACTTGGTAACGAGGAAGCAGGATGAATTGGGTGGTGGTGGTGAGTCCTGGATTTTTTCCTTTTTTTTTTTTTTTTCTTTTTTCTTTTTTTGGTCTAGAATCATAGTTTATGTTTGAGTCATCTCCACCATGCCTTCCATGCTGCCTGTCTTCTCAGAGGACTTTTTTGGGGGGGTTTGTTTTGTTGGTTGGTTGGAATTCCTTCCTTCTGCTCTGTTCACATATCTTCCTTTTGGGTCAGGAGTCCTTGGCCCCCTCTCCAGCTGTGGGTTGGGGTCCAGGCCCTCTTGCTAGCCGTTTTTCAGGAAATTATAATGGACAAACTCAGAGGTAGGGTGAGGGCAGGGAGTTGGTTCAGCAGAGTTGCTTACATTCCAGCGAGGATGGGTGGACAGGTGCCAGCCCCATTGGTGCCTGGTGGGGAGGGCAGCCACACCACCAGGGCTGGGCAAGGCACCCAAGACCGGAATTGGCCTGGAGTCTCCACTGCCCCTGTGGCCCAGCCCAACAGTTTTGCTTCTGGGTGGGAGAAGGGAGACCAGAAGAAAAGAACGCTGAGACCTGGGGGCTCTGGCTGCCTCTCCTCGGAGTGTCCAGGATGGAAGGAGGCCCTGAGCCACTGCCCAGCTCTCGCCTCCCTCTGCTCCTGCCCAGCCAGGGGCAGGGGTCACTCTGATTTCAATGGCTCGCGTCCTTCACAGCAACACTTTGGTTTGAGGAGAGATACAGAAAGGATATTAAGAGATATGACAGAAGAATGAGAGGGGAGAGGGAGGGAGGTTGAGGGAGGGAGGGAGGGAGGGAGGGAGGGAGGGAGAGGGAGAGAGGGAACAGAAACAGAAATCAAGAGGGAATCAAACTACCCAACAGTTGATTTTCCTTCATCCATTCTTTTGCTTTCCTTTTTTTTCCTTTTAAAGCTTTTTCCGTTGATTGGGGGGAGGGAGCTTGGGGCTCTTCACCCTCGTCCCTGACACCCTCTCTCAGCCCCACCCACCCGCTTCTGTCCACCCTGGCTGAGGGACAGGCCCCACCCCAGCCACCCCCCTCCTCCGGCTTTCCGAAGACGACGTCCATGAGGTATTTGTGAAGAGAAAGAAGTATCCATCGTTCCATCCGCCTTGGCGACCAAAGGCCTGGACCACTGTGCAGGGCTTGGCTCCACCTTACGGCTCCTTCTTGTCTTGAAGAGTCCTAGTCTTCTTTCCCATATATATATATATCTATATATATCTATAAATTCTTTTTTTCTAGTTTTAATTTGTTTGTTTGGTTTTCTGTTTTTTGTTGTTCTGTTTTTTGTTTGTTTTTTGTTTTTGGTTCAAAACTTTGTTGGCCTCCATGATAGAAGGAGGGCAAGGTGGGTCCCAGCAGTGTCTCCTCTGTCTACTGTTGAGATATGTCCAGGGATAGGCAAATACAGGGTCCAGCCAAGACTTGTGGAGGTCTCGTGGGAGTGGTGACCACCACAGTGTCCTCTTGCATGGGAAACCACATGGCAACGTCACCACCACGTGGACCCTGACGGAGATGCCATCCGGAGGAGCCCACCACTGGGGTGTGTGCGTGTGTGCGTTGGGGCATGGGAAGGGAAGGGAGAGGTATCTGCCAGTGTCGGAAGGAAGGGGCATAGGGCAGGCAGAGTGAGGCCAGTTCATCTTTTTGGTTTCTGGTTAATGTTAAAGAACGTGAAGGATCCCACGGATAGGCACTGGAATATGATTTTTTTTTTTTTCAGGGAAACTGACAGACAGGATGGAAAGAAAGACAACTTGGATGCCCCCACCTCATCAACCCTTGCTTGAAACAACCACCTTCCCGTAGTCGGGAGGAGGTAGACCCCAGAGCAAAGAGGGTGATGGGGTTGAGGAGGGGCTTTTAAGAGTTGGAACTTGGCAAAAAATAAAAAAAAAAAAAATGGCCTAGCCCACCCTTCAAAGGGAAGGGGGAGGTACAGGGAACAAAAAGCCCATACCCAGGCCTTCCTCTGAACTCTCCCCAGGCTGGGGGTTGGGAGGGTTAAAGCAAGACCCCCTGCCCTGTCGGGGAGAGCTGGGGGCAGGGGAGAGGGTGCACATGGAAGGGGCACATTCTGTTGAGCACAACGCTAAAAATTCTGTACATCCTTTGGGTGAAGCTACTGAATATTTGGTGTAAGGTTGTTTGGTCTTTTCTTTTGCCTTCTGGAAAAGACCATTTGGCAGGTGGCTCTGGGCCCTGGGCCTCCTGCCCCAGGCAATGCCCTGTCTCCATTGGCCCAGGGCTGGGGCTGGGCCAGCAAGCTGGCACATTCTCTAGTTCCTTCTCTGCCCACCCCCAGCGGGGGTCAGGTTAGGAGTTGGCCCCACAGCCAGGGCTCCGCGGCATGAGGTCCGACCTGCTGGAGGCTGCTCCGCTCCTGGCTGAGGGTTCTTATTTGGTGTCATAGCAGTGAGCACTCCAAGATCTGGCTCGAAACTGGTTTTTGGTTTGTTTGATTTGGGGGGAGGGTTGTTTGGTTGGTTTAGGAGTATTTTTTGTTCGTTTGTTTTTCATCTCTGGTTCCTTTAGGGCAGCTGGTTTCTGTTGTGAATATTTTTGGTTTTCTCTTTTGTTGGTTTCTTTCTTTTTTTTTCCTTTTTTTTTTTTTTTTTTTTTTGGTTGATTTTTGGTCTCTCCTCCTTTGTTACTCCTGCTCTGAGGACCCGCTGCACCCCCACCAGCCGCCTGGCCCCTTCTTGGGCAGGGGACCAAGGTTGGGGGACTCAGAGGAGCAGGAGGGAAGCGTGGTGGGCTCTCACTCGGCCTTGGACCCTGCCTCAGGTCCCCCTGGGCCTCCAGGGGTCTGTGCTGCCGCTGCCACTTCACTGCAAGTGGAGGATGATGAGGACGAAGAAGAGGAGGAGAGGCCGGGAGACTTGCTGGAGATGGAGGCCGCCACCGCTGCAGCCGCCGCTGAGACCAGGCCCACACCTGGCGGGGCACTGAGCAGGGGCAGCCCGGCGTGGTTCAGGAAGAGAGGCGAGGTCACTAGGCCGGGGCTCCCTGGGGCCGCACCGGCTGCCCCCAGCACCAGGTTCCCGCTGCCATCAAGGCTGGTAAGGGGCAGGGTTCCACCAGAGGCCAGGGCTGGTGAGGAGAGAAGAGGCTGAGCTGGAGGTAAACCAGGCCATGGAGACCTTCACCTCCTTGTCCCCTGCCTGAGTGCCCCCATCTCCCCATCTGTCCCACTGACTCCCATCAATCAACACCCCTCACAGCTTCCCCAAACACAGATGGGGATGAAGAGGCGAGCAATGCAGTGTGCAGGGGCAGGATGGCATGGCTGGGGTCGCGATGAGGGGCTCGAGGCCCAGGAGGGGACAGGGCTGACTGGTGGCAATGGGGTGGCATGAGGCAGCACGCACCTTGGATGGTGGCCAAAGGGTTGTTGCTCATGAGGGCTGGACTCAGCCCAGAGCTCAACCCCACCATTGTGCTTCTGCAAGAGCAAAGCAGACGCATTAGCGGGGAAAGGAACCCACGGCAGAACTGGGGTGCATCTCCCCGCCCTGGAAGCAGCTGTGACACCCCCCCCCCACCTGTGGCTGGGAACTTACCCCGTGCTGGGGTTCAGGCCCGACAAGCCGATAGCCGAGTGGCTGCCTTGAGGGCTCGGGTTTGTGCTGTTGGTGGTGGCCGGGGGTGGGGGAGTGACAGAGGGGATGGAATTGAGGGGGGGAGCCGCTCCGCCCCCACCTCCACCCCCTCCTGCTGTCCGGCTGGGGTGGAGCGTTCCCACAGCTGAGGATAAGGTAGTAACTGCCAGAGAGAGAGAGAGAGAGACAGCACAGTCTTCAGCTTCCTCTGGTTCCTTGCACACCCAGGATCTCATCAGTCAGAACAGCACACTGTCCCAACCCCTCCTCAGAGTCCTTATTCCCCCATCTCATGACACTAATCACAGCAGTCACTGGCACTGGCTGTCTGCAAACCATGCCCCCAAACACCCTGACACAGACAAGAAATGGGCTGCAGGAGCCAGGGAGCCAGGGATGAGTCCCCACTACTTCTGTGGTGCTGGGAGCTCAGGAGGGGCCGGTCAGGAGGTCACTGAGGACCAAACTGTTCTGGCTAGAACAGAACCCAGGAGCAGTCCCAACTGTGTCCTATGACGAACACCTCAGCCTCTTTGATCCTCAGTTCCCTCGTGGAAAATGGAAAAAATGGGACCAATCTCATGAGCCGGGTGTGAGAATTTAGTCAGTCGATGCATTTTATAAAGAACCTGGACCAGTGAGTGTCAGTGTCTTCTTACCAGTTTATAATCCTCCACTTACTAGTTCTTAACCTGAGACGAGTAGTAGTGTTTGTTATGTGTTATTAAAAAAAACTGTACATGGGCTGGAGAGATGGCACAGAGGTTAAGAGCACTGGCTGCTCTTCCAGAGGTCCTGAGTTCAATTCCCAGCACCCACATGGTGGTTCACAACCATCTGTAATGAGATCTGGTGCCATCTTCTGGCCTGCAGGCATACATGCAGGCAGAACACTGTATACATAATAATAAAAAATCTTTTTTTTTTTTTTTAATTGTACAGGATGGAGAGGTGGCTCAGCAGTTAAGAGCACTGGCTGCTCTTGGAGAGGACTCAGGCTTCATTCCTAGCACCCACACAGCAGCTTATAATTGTCAGTCACTCCGGTTCCTGAGGATCTGATGCCCTCTTCTGCTGGGCACTGCATACTCATGATGCACAGAAACACTTATAAAATAAAAACAAACAAATAAAACCTTTAAAAAAAACAATCAGCCGGGTGGTGGTGGCACACACCTTTAATCCCAGCACTTGGGAGGCAGAGGCAGGCAGATCTCTGAGTTCAAGGCTAGCCTGGTCTACAGAGTGAGTTCCAGGACAGCCAGGGCTACACGGAGAAACCCTGTCTCAAAAAAAAAAAAAAAAAGAAAAGAAAAAAGAAAAAAAATCCAACTGGAAATGGACCCCAGAGCTCTGAGCACCAGTTCCTCCTACAATCTTTCTAGAGACTATATACATAGGTAGAGATCTTGTGTGTGCATTATACACTCATGATAATTATACAAAACCTGAAGCTCAGAGAATTGAAACAAGTTCCTGGACTTGCAGAGCACACGCATACATGACAGACACCAGGGGCAAAGCCTCTGCACCCCCTTCCAGCGACCTCCACACCTTTTCCACAGGGAACCGTGGAGCTGACTAGAGGTTGCTCTGGTAGACAATGTGAGGGGCCTGCCCGCTGCTCTGTCTGCGCCTGCCCCCCCATATGTACACACACACACCACACACACACACACACACACACACACACACAAGATTCAGCCTCGAGGTCCATGGCTGTCCAGAGCCACAGATAAACCTCCCGGTCTCCCTCTCAGCCTGCCCCTAACCTGTTGTGCTCAGGCTGCTAGAAGCTTGGGACAATGGTAAGGTCCCTGCGCCCCCTTGGGGTGTGACCTGGGGAGAGAGGAAACAAAGTATATGGTAAGGCTCTCGTCACAAGGCAGCATCCCACAGTGTTCCCTGTGCACATGACTCCCACAGCCCCCCACACAGGGTGGGGCAAGAGGGTTCCAGGTGCTTCATTTAGATCATGCCACTTCTTCCCCATCATCTACCCCCCAGGCGAGCCTGCGTCACAAGCAGGAGGCGCAGTCACTCCCAGCTGAGAAAGTCCCCCATCTCTCTCTGACACCACCCTGTCCAGCTCTTGCCCCTGCAGAGCTGTGTCTGAACAACTGCTCTGTCTGCTCCTGCTGTTGGACTTCCTAGAAGGAACACACCCGTCTTTTTGGTTTTTCGAGATAGGGTTTCTCTGTGTAATTTTGGTGCCTGTCCTGGATCTCTGGATCTCTCTCTGTAGATCAGGCTGGCCTCGAACTCACAGAGATCCGCCTGGCTCTGCCTCCCGAGTGCTGGGATTAAAGGCGTGCACCATCACCGCCCGGTCACATCTGTCTTTGTAAGAGAGTCTGGCAAGCCTGAATTTCATAATAAGTTTGAGTCCAGCCTGGGCTACATGTCATGAAATCCTGTCTCGAAAAAAATAGGTTGACATTTCAGCACTCAGGAGGGAGAGGCAGGAGGACCAGGAGTTCAGAGCCTCCTCTCTGCCGAAATAAAAGGGCTGGTGAACCCCAAAGCAGTCTCACCCTGCCTTCGGCCCTAGAAGCTCTAATCGATTTGACTGTGTCTCTCCTCCACTTAAAATCCTTTACGAACCTGGTTTGGATTCCTGGTAAAACGTGAAGCATCTGCCCCTGCCCAAGCTGCACTCCCAACCCCATTCCCAGCAGCTCCCGCCACACTGCATTGCACTGGGATTCAGCACGTCTTGGCATCCGAGCCTGTGTGCATGCTGGACCTGGCAGCATGTGGCCGTCTGGGTGGTCCTCCTCCTTCACGTGGCCAGCTAACTTGCAAAGGGTCCTTCCTTCCTCCCCAGCCCTAGAGTTGAGGGTTCTTCTCTGGCCACCACAGCCCTTTGTACAAGCAGAAATAAAGGGACAGAATAAAGGATGTCCGGGTGTGCCTGATAACTACTCAGACCCATGTGTGGCTGTGGTACTGCAGTCTGGCCCTTCTTATCTCTGTGGGTGGGAGCCCGGTGTATTTCTACCCGGACCATGCAGTATCCCACCCTCATGGTAATGGAAGTGTATGTGTGGGAGCCTGTACCCACCACATAAGACCACACTTTGGGGCCTGGGAGATGGTTTGGTGGGTAGAGGCACTTGCTCTTAAGCCTAATGACCTGAGTTTGATCCCTGGAACCTTCAGGGTGCAAGGAGAGAATCGACTCCCAGGAGTTGTCTTCTGACCTCTACTCGGGTTGGGTGGCATGGAAATTGTCCCTTTATGACTGTGCTCTCTGTTTGTGACATACTGTCCCCAGAACCAGCTCCTCTGGCCTGCTTCACCCAGACGCCTACAGGCTTGTGCCCGGACACCTGACCCCCACACCCAGCCCACCGTCCAACTCTGGGTACCAGGTGAGGACTGTAGCTGGTCGGCTTTCCCGGGCTGGGCAGCATGGGGGCCGCGCTGCAGGGGTTGATGCGTTTTTCCTTCTGGCGCCGGTTGCAGAACCAGACGCGGATCACTTCCTTCTCCATGTGCAGCTGCTCTGCGATCAGCAGGATCTCCTCTGAGGTAGGCTTCTGGTTCTACAGGCAGAGAGGGCTGTTGAGCTGGGTCCTTCCACCTGATACCCTTCCCGGTCGCCAGGGGGCGAAGCTCACCGCTAGAAAACTCTTCTCTAAGGCGAAGCGGACATTCGTCTCGATGCTGGTTCTCTTCTTGCGTCTCCGCCCCGGCAGCCCGTCGAAACCCAGGCTAGGGCTGCTCAGCTGGTTGGGGCTGGGTAGGCTTGAGTCCACAGACATAGTTTCTGCGAAGACAGGAGACAGGGATGTGAGTAATCACTTCCCGCCCTGCCCCAACACCAGTCCCCTGTGCGTCCCCTTGGCGCCTCTGGCCAGGCTCACCTGCGTCATTGAGCCACTTCTCCAGGAGGGGCTTGAGTTTGCACATATTCTTGAAGCTCAGGTTAAGGGCCTCGAAGCGGGAAATGGTCGTCTGGCTGAAGTCGTTGCCATAGAGCTTGCCCATGGCCAGGCCCACATCACCCTAGTCCAGAGAGGAGGAGGTGGGGTTTGAAAGTCAAGGTGGGGTCTCCCGGTACAGGGCTAGATCCAAACACTCCATCAACTGACCATGACCCCCGCATCTTCGTTCTGTCACCCCCGCACCCCCACCGCCCCATAAGGTGGTCCCAGACCTGCGTGAAGCCCAGCTTGATGCGGCGTTGCTTGAAGGTGCGAGCGAATTGTTCCAGTTCCTCCAGGTCACTAGGTTCCTCCGGGTGGGATGGCGGTTCCAAGCATTTTGGGGGCTGCGGGTGTGAGAGGTGCGGGTCGGGCAGCGTGGGCCGAGTCACAGCCTGGTGGGGTGGGCAGGTGGATGGGATGCAGGATGGAGGACCTGGATGTACCTAAGCAGTGGCTGTGCACCTGCTCTCTCCAGACTTCCCTCACCTGCCCAGGACACCCACACTAATTGCTAATCCTGTTAAATGTTTCACTCTGCTGCCCAATTACCAGAACTCTTCACCTTCCCTTAGAGATCCGAACTCCCAGAAGGAGCAGCCAGTGTCTTTTGCTGATAGCTCAATGGGCTCAAAGCCTAGAGCTGGGGGCAGTGGGTTCATCCTCCATCATTCTTTGCCACTGACGTTTGGGGTAACTCAATCTGAGCCTTAACCCTCCTTGGGCCTCCATTTCCTTCCACAGAAACCACCACCACGGACTCTGCCTGCCCGCTGATGAAGGGATTAAGGTTACTAATTAGCAAGTTGTCCAACCCCCTCCCCCTCATGGGTATAGGGTGAAGCCTGAGGTTCAGTCTACAGATGCAGCAATAATGTGTAGCTGCCTGAACTGCAAATGAATACTGTTTGGGCTGAGGATGCTGAAAACGGGGAGGTGGTGCAGGAGGAAGACAGGAGGCATATGGAATCTATCTTGAGCTCAGTTTCACTGTGCATTTAAAACTGCTCTAAAAAATGAAAGATCTGACAGAACACGTACAGCTGCTCAGGAGACCAAGACAGGAGGCTGCTAAATGTAAGGTCAGCTTGGGCCACAGAGTGAGTTCAATGCCAGCCAGAGCAACTCAGAAAGACCATCTCAAAACAAAATGTGAAAAGAGGGCTGGGGATTTAGTTCAGTGGTAGAGTCTGCCCCCACTCCCCAGAATCGGATGGGGTGTGGTTCAGTGGAGGAGCCCCTGCCTAGAATCCCCCAGTGAGGGGCTGGGGGTGTGGCTCAGTGGTAGAGCCCCTGCCTAGAATCCCCCAGTGAGGAGCTGGGGTGTGGCTCAGTGGTAGAGCCCCTGCCTAGAATCCCCCAGTGAGGGGCTGGGGGTGTAACTCAGTGGTAGAGCCCCTGCCTAGAATCCCTCAGTGAGGGGCTGGGGTGTGGCTCAGT